GTAACTTTAATTATTCACTTTTTCAAAACGATCAAGTGCCTACTAATATTTCACATATATTCACGTACATATATGTATATTATTGGGAGCCTACGTACTATTAGCTTATAAGAACCCGTTAAAATCAAAGTCGGACAATTAGGGTTAGGTCTTAGGTTCTCCCGTAAGAGTTCCTCATTACAACGGTCCCTTAATAATACGACGATCCATCCTCCAAAAAAAAAAAAAAAAACGAAATCCAGGAGTTCCATTGTCGCGGTACTCAGCGCCGGGGCAAGGTAGCGAAACGCATATGGTGGGGTAGGAGAGACGGAGCATGGGGGTTGGACAACGACGGGGGTGCGCGGGGGATCGATGGGCGAGCCAAACGTTAACCGAAGACCGCCTTCTCGTTCTTTCTTCCATTTTCTCCTTTTTCTTGCCTCGTGCCTCCTATCCTTCTTCTCTTGCTCTCTGACCGTCTACCCGTTGCTCCTCTCCCCGCCCCTCTCCAACCCTCGTTCTCCCACGCTACACCTGTCGTGCGCGCGGTCCGAACGACCTGGAGAGGTGGTAGTAAAGTTTTAGTAGGCCGAGTACGCGTACTCGACACCGCGTCGAGGTGGAAGCCACGCCACAATCCATTTATCTCTCGTCTCTCGATACCGACTTTTTTCCCTTTCAAGATCAGGCTGTTGTCGATTCCTGGGGCGATGATTCGCGGTTTTGTAGATAGAGGGATTGCCGAACCGATTGTTCCAGACTGACGAATTCACCCGTGAGCTAATGGAAAACGGTTCACGTAAATTGTTTGTGTAGAATCGATATTGTACCGAAGGTTGGGATAACTTTGACTCACAATCAGTCAGAGTAATTTTGCCACAAAGTCAGAAAATGATCATTTTGGATCCTGCAGCTTTCCATGCATTTTTACGTGAAATACCTTTTCACATAACGATCAACTTAATTTAACAACTTCAAAATGATAAATTTTCTAACTTTGGGACAAAGTTACTCTGACTGACAAAGTTATCCCTACTTATGGTTCCGAAGGTACCATTTTTGTGCCGTTCGATCGACTGTAGATTCTTCGTGGTGATTTTGAACCTACGCAATTTCTTTTTTATCAAGACAAACATACGTAAACCGTAACATATCGTAGTATTAAAAGTCTCAATTACGAGAAGATTCGATTCCCGGGTCCTCCAGGTCGAGCCCATTCGAATGGCCACTGGTTCAATTTCCAGTTCCAAATTCTACGAAATTCCCCTGCGATTGTTCCGTACCGCGATTCCGCGTAAAGAGGTACGTATTCGCCCGCATGTATGAAGATGAAAAACCGTGGACCCCGCCTACGACCACGAACGCTCGATCTCGTTCTTTCTGCGAAAGAAATCCTCTCGGAGCGTTGGGACGCCGCGGCTCGTTTATCAGGAATCTTGCGGGCGTGCACGCGCACGCCTACCAATCCTCGGTGCCACGAGGAACCATGAAGAAGAAGGAGAAGAAGAAAAAGAAGGAGAAGGGTAGGGGAGAAAGGTTGCCAGAAAGGTTGCCTGAATTTCGCGACGAACCAGCAACGGCCTGTTTTATTCGGTGAATTTCCCGGCAAACAAAATGAAAAAAGATCCACGTCTGATACCGGTCCTAGGTAATTAGGAGTGTCCCGGTTCGGGTTCACCAGGGAGCAAAGAGAGACGGTTAATTACACGTATGTAGGTCTACCTGGTCCAGACCGTGCCTCGGATCGCTCGAATCGCTCTTCGTGAGGTTTCGTGTCTCACTCGCCGACCTTTAATCGACCAGCCAGATTAGATTAGCACCTTGGACTCTCTCGAGCGCTAACGTACGACTTGACGTAATGGCTGGTACACGCACGAGTTGAATCCTACCAGGAGTGTGGCTAGCGATGATTCACGATTTAAATTCTAGTTATACCGAACAAAAACTCTTATTGTTCTATTTTGTCAATTGTGGATAACATTGGCCACTCTATTGGTTTAGTGTAATAAGTCCACTGGCAGCTAGTGTATTGGTTCAGCGTGATACGTCCACAAGTTACCTACGAAAACTGTTTCCCGAAGACTTTAATACTCCTTACCCTTGGTGGTCACAGTGCATCCTCGAACTTTGAACCGTCGACCCATTACCTGCAAGCTTTACCATTTATAGAACATTATATACGATTATGCCATTTTTCTGGACAGGTACAAGGAACTGAAAGCAGATCAAACTGTGCTTGATTTCGATAGGTATTTATTTTCATAATGATGAATGTTCTTTATAATCGATCTATAATATCATACATCATAGCATTCAGTTTATACATAATTACAATTGTAAATCTGGTTCGCCCTTAGGAGTGTAAATTAGTAGTTGGGTTCGTCGTGTGTCCCGCGAGAGCCGCCCCTTACGCCGAGAGGCAAGAGTGTGTAAAACGGTGTTTGGGGCTCGGGCGCGTAGAAAAAAAGTCACCTCTCCCGTTCTCTCGGTCCCACCCGATCACGAAAACCTGGCCGTAAACAACAAGAGATATCGACGCAGAGACCACGAAAAACAATGTATACAAATGTATATGTACAACCGAATAAAAAACATGATCGACAAGAAAGTCGAACGATCGTTGAGCTCCGATGAAAGAAGACGCATGGAGATTCGAGGCGAGGAGGCTCGACGATCGTTCCGCGATCCCGTCGACAATCGAATTTCTGAACATACGTATTACAACGAATACGGTCGCGCGCGATCGTTCGACTCTAATGAGAGAAGGAAGGGGTCTCTGTGGCGGCAGTGCCCGCTACTGGCCGCTGGTACAGTGTATGTCATGTGTAGGATTCCTAGGAAACAATAAATAAAATCTACCTATTCTCATTTTATCTAGCTGCGAGACCGTCGTGTCCGTCGCATTTTGATTCGAACGGTCGATCGGTACCCGTTGCTTCAGCTCGCCGCGACGATCACTCTCTCCGCTCATTTTTCAGCCTTTCTCACTCTTGTTTCAACTCTTCCGCGGGGGGGCGGGGGTGGGTCTTTTTTCTCTCTATTCGCCTTGGCGCGTTCACTGCTCGAACTGAAATAGATATTAGGAAATTCATCACAGGAGCCGGCTGTGTTTTTAGGGGGATCGTTGATATCGGTATCCAGTGGAATCCGGGTTCTCGCCATTACGTGTTGCGACAAAGTGAATTTGTTTATCGACTATATCTTATGTATTCGGAATTTTTATTTTGCTATATTATTCTTACGGATAAAGGTGTGTGTCTGAGGAAGTTTAAATGCACTGTTTTTGCGTCGAGGACATATACACGATTTCTGTTCGATGTTTAATGGGTGCAACTAGAATGACGTCCCGCCAGCAGTGAACGCGCCAACGCTACTCCAGGCCTGGCTGGCCCACTTCGAGTTCTCGATGCACAGCTCCCCTCGATATTCCCGATCCACGATGGATCACGGTTCTCGCCCTTTACAAAACTATCGTATATCCCGAGAATTTTTGTTCGTGTCGCGCCATCGCGTCGCGTCGATAGCTTAATTGATTAATTACGCGGATACACATCGAAAGGTACTATGTTTATATATACAGCGGTAGCAATTGATTACTGATTAAATAGTGTGGCATATTTACTAAACGTTACGTTATCACAACGATGATAAAATCAGCCGGAAGACCGGAATCGTTCGTTCGATCATTCCGATCTTGTTCTCTCTCTCTCTCTCTCTCTCTCTCTCTCTCTCTCTTGATCTCCGTTTAATTACCAGCAAAAGGAGAGACAGGAGACGGAGAAACGAATGCTTTTTTCAGTCGACCAGTTTTCGTTCGCTGCTTCGTGACACGCGGACTGGGGAAACGGGAACAACCTCCGTCGAATCTCACGCGAACCTCGTTTCTACCAGTTACATTCGAACAAGTGACTCGACTGTTTGATTCCTCGAGAATATATGTCGAACTTGATTTAGTTTCACGCGAAATTTTGTTTGCAATCGACACACTTCATGCGGCTGTGTTCGTGAACGTGTGAACTCGGTTCACACGAATATTCCAGTTACATTTGAACAGTCTTCTTTCTCGACAGACTCGGACGAACGAAGCTCTCAACCGTATGCGTTTCTCCTCCAGTTCGCGGGATCTCTCGAACCAAGGAACATCGTCGGGATTCAGGAGGATCCGTAGCTGCCCGGACGAAGGGGGAAGGGAGGAGGGAGGAATGAATTTTTTCGACTCCAGCATCGTGGCTGAAGACTCTCGAATTGACTAGATTGGAGCACCTTAAGTTTCATGAGAAATGGACTCGGGAGAGAGGAATCTGGACTGACCTCCGGACGAAACAACAGTGAAGTTCTAGTTTGAGAAATGTCGTTAACGAAAAAATTTGCTCGCGTTGAGTAGATCACGAGAGGGTGAAGTACCAGTAGACAGAAAAGGAAGAATCGAGAGGAATGTATTTGTACTGAATTTGCCGTGGTCAACGAACCGCGTTGATGAGTCAGACAATAAATACTCGAGGTCATTCAGCGATCGATTGACTTTATTCCGTCTCTAAGGAACTCATCGTGTTGAAGCTAGAGCAGGTTAGGATGATGATAACGTGTTTTCGAACGTGAATCGAAGGTGAAACATGAAAACCAAAGGGTGGACTGGTAGGTTTTCCGACTTGTTATAATTCTTATGTACTCGCGCGGAGATAATGTAGTATCGAAAAACCACTGGAACCGCACTGTGTGTGGTCAGCTACGCACCTGAAACCGGGTTTCCTTGGGACGATCACGCGACCAGGAAAAACCACCTGAACTCTCTACCCGAACAGGGTGGGGATGGGTTACAGCCGTTCATCGCGAGGTGTCCCGTAACCCCGATATTGCACGTTAAAGTCGAACCACGGGATCAGCGATCGGCCAGCGTGTCCCGAGTGTCCGGCCTCGCGCTGATCCACCCTAATCGAGATCATATGGCGATCGATCGAATCGTCAGAATTTTGGCATCACAGTAGGGGGTAGTATTCGCGGCCGTAGAAGGAGATCGGTCACGAACCGCTGGTCGACAGAACAGAAGGTAGGTCACGATGGGCCTGGGGATCCCTCGAGTGGGCATCTCTGACCGCTCTGGAGCCGAACACACGCTCGCAGCCCGGTATCGTACACCTGGCCTCCTCTTTTCGGTCCTCGGAGCCTGGCGAGGACAACGGAGAGCCGGAACCCGGGATGTGTCTGGTCCCCTGCTCCTGGGACATTCTGGTCAGATGATTCAGATGCTGATGGGTCAGACCGTTCAGTCCGGCCAGGTGCGAGGCGAACGAGGACAGACCCGAGAATGTTGCTCCCAGGTGCGGTGGCAGCAGAAGCGGATGCGGTGGCGGTATTCTAGCGGCCAGATCAACCGCTGAAGGTAGTCCAGGCGTTAGAGGATAGGCACCCAGGGCGCCAATGCCCGCGTCCGCGTACAATCTCGCGAGGAACTCGTTACGCAACAGAGGATTCATCTGGGTGTCGTCCACCCTGGGCGACAGACTCGGCGGCAGGCTCGAGGACAACGGCGGACTCGACGAAGTGGACAATAACTTCCGATGGAGATTCAGGTTCGCCGAGTGCCTGTCACGCGACCTCTTCGACGGGAACGCCGCGTTACACCCGTCCACGCTGCAACGGTGCATCAGCTTCAGATGAACGTTCTGATAGTGGGTCTTGACACCGAAATGATTCTGGAACACCTTGCCGCACGCGGTGCAACGACGTGGATTCTCCCGATCCAACGGCACCTCCTGGGTGCTGACGAAACCGCCGTTCTCGTAACGGGCATAGGTGATCAGGCTATTGTCCGTATCCATGGCCGCTGTGGAGGGTGAGGCGCTGGATGAACGAGAGCCACGTGAGGAGTTGTCCATGGTGGTCTCCTGGTGGGTCGTGAGGCTGACGGGGCTGGTAGAGCCGCGGCCAGACCTCGAAACCGCCCGCTGCATCCCGGTGTACTGCATCGCGCGACCCTGCGACAAGGACTCGAGTTGACGCAAAGTGTTGGTCGAGGAGTCGTGGGAGAGGTCGTCGGCTGTCGTCGGACGGCTGTCGACCGAGCTCGGGGCACGGGAGGGATCATCGGGACGCTCACCTTCTTGATTACGCAGCGCTACGTTCACCTCCTCATCATCATCATCCTCCTCGACCTCCTCCAACGGCTCATCCTCGTCGTCATCATCATCATCCTCCTGGATCTCATCCTCCTTCACTTTCGCCTCTGCCGTCTCTGCCTCCTTTTTCGGGGACACTCTCGACGGCTCGTCCTCCTTCGTCGCCGTCGCCGTAGGTGTCGTCGTCGTCGTCGTCGTCGTCGTCGCGGCCGTGTCTTCGCACTCGTTTTTCAGTCTGTCGGTCAGGTCCGAGGAGCTCGACTCTTTCTTGATCGTCGAGACGGGAGCAACGTCCGCTAAGTCAGGTGACGCCTTTGGTTCCGGACTAACCTGTCTCTTGAGCGATTTGACGCTGCTCGCTCTCGAGCTCAGATCACGCGGCTCGTCCTGAGGTAGATCCTCGGCGCTGTCGTGTGCGGAGACCGCGTCCCGCCGAGCACCGCTTATCATTCCCGCGTCCCTGTTGCACACCTCCGGGGACCGAGAGGAGTTCGACTCGTGGTCGTTGAAGTTCATATTCTTTGGGGAACACGGCGAGACGGCCTTTCGTTCCTCCGCTTCTAATCGGGACATCGACATGTCCTCCGGTTGGCTTTGGAAGTCGTTCAACGACGAAACGGCCGCGCTGTCGGACAGGCAACGTTGCTTCACTCTTTACGACGAGGAATGTACCTCGGTCAAGACAGCGCATCGAGTCGGATGTTGCGATTTTCTCTTCCGTACGCCTCGGCTGTGCAATAAGGTCGAGTTCAACGAGTGCTGGCTCATCGAAAAGCTCTGCTGATCGACCGTGCCCATTGAATCATTATCCTCGTTGCTATCCGGATTACTAACGAGGTCTTCGTCCGCGGGCTCGCCGAAATACAACTTCGATCGTTTTGTCAGACTGAAATCGGCTGGTTGTTCGTCGTCCTCCTCTCCGGAACGTAGAGGTAGCCTCGACGGTAGATTGCTAGCGTCGTCCTCCGCAACGACCACGATTCCGCCGTCGTCATCGTCGTCGTCTTCGTCCCCTTCTGCGACCGCGGTCGACGCTTGAGTGGAAGGTGACACGGTATCCGCTGCGCTCCCACTGGAGAACGATCCTCTGGTCGCGACGGTGGTGCTAGGCGTCTCCGCAGCGGTTGTCATCGCCATGGAGGACGTGGTCAGCGCCGTCGTCGACGAGAGACTCGCGTTAACACTCATTCGTTGTTGCAACGCCTCGTCGTACGGTCTGGGTTGGTCCAGGTGTTTGAAGTCTAGGCCGCACAGAGAGGCAGGAGATCGGAGATCGGGAGGCGGGGTGAGCAACGGGAACGATCCAAAAGGTAAATGGTTCAGTCCCGAGCCTGGAACAGGCAGTCCAACCTGGGGTGGCAAGACTAGGGCGTGAGCCATCGATGATCGTCCGTCGTGAGGCGATATCTTCCGCCGAAGATGCGGCGAATGTAGTTTGGGATTCGGATTTGCGCTGTGTCTGTTGCGCGATCTTCTGGAACTAAACATCATGCTGCACCCTTTCACCGTGCACTGATGCATCTCCCGCAGATGGACCGCGCTGAAGTGAATCTTTAGGGCGCCCTTGTCGCAGAAGGTCTTCAGGCAGACGTTGCATTGCACCCTCTTCTTGCCGGTGGTGGGATTGATGAACGGTGTACCAAGATTGGGCGGTATGTTAGCCGACCCGCCCCACTGGCTACCGTGTCGTTTGCCAGGCGAATGAGGCTTTCTTCCTGGTATACCGGGTGGCCTGCCGAGAGGGCCAGCCTGTAGAGGTAGTGGCGGATGATGTCGATGTTCGGACGCGTGTTTCGACGCGCTGTCCCGTCTGCTCAGATTCAACGCGCTGTCCGAGTTCTCGTCGTCCTCCTCGTCCTCTTCTGAGCCGAACTCGCTGCTCTTCTCACCGCCGCTGTGCACGTCCGAGGGCGCTGTCATTCCGGTCAATCCTCCCGAGGACTTGCCCATAGGCGGTGGTGGAAAGTGAGCGGGAAAATTTGGCGGAAGAGCGCCAGAAGACACCGCGACCGACAACGGATGGCCGAAATTCAAGGCCGAGGAGGAGACCGGCGCGACCGGCGGCATGTGAGGCCTTTGCAACTGATTGCTGTTGTGATGGTGAGGTGGACTGTGCGGACTGTGAGGATTCCTCATGGATTTACGGTTCTGCAACAGCTGATCCGCGGTCGGCGGTGGTGGCAACGGCGGAAACGCTGGTAGACCGAGAGTGCCCAGCTTCCGAAAGTCGAACGGCTGCATGCTTTGAAGTCTGTTCAACGGGGACACCGTCAAATGGGACTCGAGGCTTCTGGGCGGCGAATTGGCGCTGCTCGTTACCCCGGAATTCCCGCTCGCCGACGAGGAATAATGCTTCTGTGTGGTCGGTGACATCGACGGATGCGAGACCGCTGGCGGCGGTGGCGGCGGTGGCAGAGGCGGAGGCAATCTCGAGCCCGGAGGCGGGAGACCGCAGTGAAGCAGGTGGAGAGGGGGTGGTAGGTGTGCTAGTGGCATCGTCGGCGGCGAAGGTCGTCTGCTTGGTGACATAGCATCCGTCCCCGGCGTTCCGGCGGCCAGCAGCAACTGCTGCACAAACGGACGCGTCTCGGCGAATCTGAGGAACTGCTGCAACACCAGCGGTTCCTCTTCAGGCGAACAGATGCTCCATCGGTCCAGCACCGGGCCGTTCTGCGAGTCCTGCGGGCACAGATCACGTGGATTCGTTAGCTTTCAAGTAATCGTCTATCGTATTTACATTTGCAGCCAAGTTATACGGAAAACCTCGCAGTGACAAATAAATCAGGTAAGCGCAGTACGGATCCAATTAATTTTACGATCTTTACTTACAAATAGTTACAAAGCCATAGAGATTTAAAGGTTCAATTGAAATTAACTATAGAAAATTTAAGATAATAGTAGTTACACTACTCGCTATTAAATAAACCATTAAAAAACATTGTAAAACAAGAATAAGAAATAAAATATACTCAATAGAAATGAAGCTACTGTATTCAAACTAAATTTATTCCATTTTAGACTATCGAGGGTTGGTAGCTTTCTGCATAACTTGGCCCCGTTATTTGTTAATTTTTATTTTTGGTGTTTATCACGCTAGGTGAGTCTGTTATAGCAATCGCTGGCGTGGAATGTACACGCAAGAAACAATATGAAATAGAAAAAGAACGTTGTGTGTCACGGTCGTCCGTCGCTGAAGCGTTACACCGATTAACGGTTATGGTATTTTAATGAATTTCTTCCAGGTTGATTACAAATTAAGTGTTTAACGTCGTCAAACTGTCAACTGATAGTATGAATTTATGTTTTCCTTTTTTTTTCTTTTCGGTTTCTTTGTATGTATCGTGTTGCAGTTTCTTGCACTCTTTCGTTCTCTTAACCTTCAGGTTTCGCCACGACCGGCGTATGATAATTCCATATCCGGGTAAAAACACTTCCGTTGTTCCTACGGCCGTGGAAGGCCGCTTACGTAACGTAGTTTTACATTGTGCGGCACAATTAATAAGAACGGATCAATGAATAATCAAAGTAATTTATTCTCTTTAGCAGGCGCTTAATTAGTTCTACTTCAGTTGCCAGCTCGATGATGAGTGAACCGCTAAATAATTGACTGTAAAATGATCGTCAGCCGAAGCTTTTATTTCCATTACTCATTCGAAGATGGGAAAACCAGAGATAAAGAGAGATTTGTTTTCTCTATGAAATATTTCATTGAAGAAGAAAACAATTTTACTTTAATGCCTTTCTTGTAGATCATAATGACTTTCTGCGAATCACTTTCGTTATTAATATCACGACGACCATAAAATATCGATTCTTGTTTTGCTGGACAAATTGAACATGGTTTGTTTCAGATTTAGAAAATAAATTGACATATACCGGGAAATGTTATCTATCGTTGTTTTTAATTGCTGCCAGTTGAAGACGTTTATCGTTTTGCTACCGGAGAACAGGCTGGCAAAAGTGTGACGGCAGTCGAATCCAACTTAAGGCCATTCCGAGGTTCACGTCGGGTTTCTCTTTCGCGTTCTTGATTTCGATACACCTGTTCTTCTGGCGACGTCGCATCGAAAGTCAAGAGCACACTTCTTAGCGATCGATTAACAGGCCGTGATAATATTTTTCGTTCTTGCGATCGCACACCGAGAATCGACCGTTTCGTTCCCGTCGATCGAACTTTCTAATTACTATAATAATAAGTAACCGGAAGTTTCGTAACATTCTCCCCCCCCCCTCCCATTAATCTCTGATCTTCGGCAATTGGAAATTATTATCCGCTTAATTAGCGACTCGAGCAGCTCGGTTCAATACTCTGAAATTTTTACAAATTCGCGAATGCGAAACCTGAGACGGAACGATAGTTATTGTTGGTAAACCGTTCAATACAATTTCAACGTGGTTGCTATTACGTGTACCAATAAGTAATCCAATATTACTCGACGAAATTAGTACGTTGGCCTATATTAATAGTATTAACTAGGAAATTACTAATTACTCCATTTCCATTCCATAAAGGTTTTCCAACATCGAACACACAATTTTCATTCGATCCAAAATATATTTTAAAGGTAACATATATATCCTCTCGTAATTCCAGCAAAAGTTGGATTACTTTTCGATTCGTTTCACGGATATATCGATCTCCAGAGGGGCCGGAGAAGTCAGGAGACGCGGTCCAGTTTCCGAGGGTTTCCGTTTGGACGTCACGTATCGGCTGTCGGAGTCACTGGTTCTTCTAAAATCAGGGTGGCCAGCGTATATAGATCGGCGGTGGCGGCGGCCGTAAGCTTGTCTCTCTCTCTTTCTCGCGGGCTTGTATATTTACGCATACCGACGGGCTCGACGTAACGCAGGACGCCCCAACGCCGCGACGCTTTTCGCCCGCGTCCCGGTTGTGTATATTTCTTCAAGCACGCACACGCGCGGAACGACATACGGCCGCCTTGCGGCGTCAACTCCACCGAACCGACGCCACTTCCAAATCCGATCGAGCGAGCCGCCGAAACGAGACGGGCGTTCCGCGTTATTTTTCGCACCGAGCTGACCGCAGAGCCCACGAAACACGCGACTCTGTAACACGAGACACACACCCGCCATTTTGCTCTTTGTCGCGAGCGCGAGGGGGGAACACAGCTAACCTAACTCGCACGCCCACCCTCTGTGATTTCACATCGATTCAAAAGTGAAAAGAATATTTCTCGATGCAACACGGTGAATTAAATAACGACTGACATTATATCTTTTCGAAAAGAAAGACAATAGAACGCTGGAAACGGGCAATTACACTGGTCGATGAAATATGGTAGTTTAACCCCTTAAAGGGGGAAAGAATTTTCGTACGGTGCACTGTGGAGTATTTGACTTAAGATGCCAGGAAAAATTTCAAATTTTAAACTTAATTGGAAACAAGAATAGTGTTCTTTGTTCTTATAACAGTATACACTGCGTGGCATAACTATAAAACCACCCTAACATTGTCAATCCTTATGCGTTGTGGTTAAAATAAAAGCGCACCAGCTTTTTTACGATCGCCTTGACGAGCATATATATATCTGCTTTCTACCACTTAAAAGATTACTATAACGAAGAAAATGTATTAGACCTACGTTCTGGAATCCTTGGAACGACGGATTTAGAGGACATTATCGGGACACGAGGACAGTGACCCAACAGGAAACAGAATATACATATTAAGCGACACTAGGATTTAACACGGTCCCGTAAATTGTCTCTTTAAAACATTGTTAATAAATTGAGAGAACAGAAAGGAATAAGAGAACAACAAGAAACTCTCTAATTCGACGACCAAAGTGCAAAACAGACGATGACCATTTCTTGGGAGAGTGAAAACGAACGTTCAACCAAAAAATCTCTTTCGATTACACGAGACCCCGAATATCGACAGACAGGGAGAGAAAGAGAGAAAATTTCACAGGGAGCTGTCGGTCGTCGCGTGATTTTTGCTGAAAAATCCCAAGCCTCGCACCGTCACCTCCCGCGATTTGCAGTTTAAGCCCCGCTAAATATAATACCGTTCGACGAAGTCTAAGCGCCCGTGACGCATCACGGATTCGTCGATCGGTTCGAGTCGCCGCGGCTGCCGATGACTATTATTCAACAGGCGAAAGCCGACGTTCTAATTGCGAGACGGTCGATCGTCGTGGACGTATGATAATGAATTACCGAACACAGCGGAGGGAGAAGGGGAAGGGGGTATTATACAGTTACGGAACGTCCCCCCTCGGGTTATACGGCTGGCAAAATTATGGTAATGGCCTCGGTCGCAACACATAGCGTGACACTCCTTCGGGCTGCAATTTCATGGTTTTTATGTTTGTCGTGCGAAACTGCCGGCAAATAGACTGTTATCTCACTTTCCCCGAGTCCCGATCTGATCTTCGGGCGACTGGGAGTATCGTGAAAATGGTGGGCTTCCCCGAGATGTAAATTCTCGATGTTCCAATTCCACGCTTAACGTTTCGTAAAACTTCTAGAGTGGGCATCCTCTTCAGATTTTCACACCGAGAACGATGCAGCAATATGGGTACCGTAAATATGGGTAACAGCTGTGTATATTTTTAATTTGACTTTGGGACAAAGTTACCTTCGATTGAGTTAAAGTCACCCCACCGGTATACAAACGAATGAAGCTAATCGACGGTAATTGTACAGAAAGTTAATTTCTACTTCGGGGACGGTTGATCCTTTCTTTTTAGAACCCTTTTTAACCTCTGTCCCAGAAACAACATGAGAAACCAGTGGACGATGTGCATAGCGACAAGAACGACGGTGAATGTAGAGTACACATTCGACGGTAAAGGTAAACACATCCAGATACGGATTAACATCTGAATTCCTGTAAACGTGACCCAGAAGACCCATAAACGAAATTTGTCTCTGTGAAACTCAAGAGAGAGAGAGAGAGAGAGAGACCACGAGCAAAAACGTTCCGTTCCCTCGATCCTCCACTTTCACCTTTAAACGGTCGCGACTTAAGAGGGATAAAAACGGAACCGACATTTTCTCGCGGTTTCCGGACATCGAAAAGACACCCGCAGCTCTCCCGGCTGTGGGGTTCCACCTATTCCGCTCCTGAATTTTCTCACACCCGGTTTTTTTTCACTCCCCCGCGGGTTCCAGACACCGATTCCACAAGGAGAGGAATGGCGGAACGAGCGATGATCCACGGCTTCGCGTATGCGTGACAAGGAGAATCCGCGGAGTGGAAAGGCGTTCCGCGAATCGGCTAAACTGTTCGTCGTTACGTGAAAGGAACGGCCAGGGACCTAAACGGTCGGTGTATGTCTGTTTGAGTGTGTCTGAGAACGCGAGCCACAGTCGCCGCGTGAACCGTGGGACTCGAATTTTTATAGTTCCGCACGCGAACTGCGGCCCAATAGTGGCCATTTAAAAGCACGGGGGCCTGTTCAACACGGATGAGGGAAGGCGAGCCTCTTTTGCTCCGGGGAGTTATGTTTTTTCGTTATTCCTCGTGTGTGTGTCTGTGTGTATGGGGAGGGTTTCGGTCATAAATAACATTCATCCAATGACGGAAGGTATAATTTATTAAATATTAATCATTATGTTCATTAACGGCATTAATGGTAATTGGAAGGGTCACTTAAACAGAAATACCTTTATAAAGAGGGAAAGTTATTTATGCATCGACCTGATATTACGGA